GTATGTATGTGTGTATGTATGTATAACCGAGAATCGGCTTGCTGGGCAACACGCATTCGCGTGAACTCGTCGAGTCGAATCTTGACTCCAGCCAATGGACATATCTAAACCCCTAAACCCCTAAACTAAACCCTAAACCCAACCCCCCTAAAGCCCTAAACCCATATTTGCGACACATGTGGTCCGGCCATCGCTGAGCCCGGTGTTCTCTTTCGGGATCGCCGCGAAGGAAAGTAAAGGGCAGCAATGTGTTCAATTGAGAAAGGAAGGCGCTTGCCTCGCATTTCCATGACTCCTCTACTAAACCCCAAGCTTTGTGAGCCTATTCATGAAAACCAAAACCCTAAACCCCAAACCCTAAACCCTAAACCCTCAACCCTACACCCTCAACCCTCAACCCTCAGCCCTAAACCCTCAACCCTCAGCCCTAAACCCTCAACCCTCAGCCCTAAACCCTCAACCCTCAGCCCTAAACCCTCAACCCTAAACCCTCAACCCATGGAGGTCCAGCAACCTGGAGCTGCGGTGCACGAGGCGCCCTACTTCTCCGAGCGCGAGATGGAGTTCCTCATGCCCTGGGCCGCAGACATCGGGGTTCAGGTGATCTCACACGGCTTAGGGTTTAGGGTTTAGATATCGGGGGTTTCCAAAAGTTAGAGTACCTTATTTTTGGGGTCCTTATAATAAGGATCCTACTATAGGGTACCATATTAGGGCCCCCCATTTTCGGAAACCGCCATATCGAGGTTCAGGTGATCTCACGAGTTCAGGAGGGTTCCTGGTCCGGGCTTCGGAAGTTTGGGGGCCAGGGCTGAGTACCTTCTGAACGCCAAGGCTTGCCATTGCCGATAAACTTGGGGTTTAGTTTACTTTGTGGAGTCAGCAGCTTGGCTGAAGGGATTCAGGGCTTAGTGCATTGCAGTCCCTGCTCCAAAAAAAAGTTTACTTTGTGGGGGAAGACCTGTTTGATTGCAGAGGCTGTGTAACGAGAGGAGTGTTCATCGCATGGGTCGGACAAGTGGGAAGTTTCATGGCACTTGAGATCATCTTGCAAGGCCGAAAGCCTAAACCCTCACAAAACGCGTGTCTCCGACGTTGGCAGCCCTAAACCCTAAACCCTAAACCCTGAACCCTAAACCAGTGTCCATCTTGGACCCGGCCATGAGGCTCGCAGACATGGCTCGGATGAGTGGTAGGCCAAGCAAGCAACAAAGTCGCCCTCCCTAAAAGCCATGTGCTGGACCGTGATGGAGCAGAACAATTTCAAAGAAAGAGCCGAGTAGCTCGCCATTGCCTGTACCCCCAAGACTTGCTATGGCATTGCATCGCCGCAGCTATGCCGGAGTCTTGCGAGGAACAGTCTTTGAGCGCCGGAAGGCGGGAAATCGTTAAAGATTTCTGTGGAGTTCTCGGACTTACCTATTCTTCCAGGGAAGTGTTACCACAGGCGGAAACCATCGATGCCTTCAGCGAGGCAGAACAGGAGGCAAGCCGGTTTTTTTTGGGACTCTGAGGGCCTGGTCTGCAAAACCCATGCTCAAAGAAGACGGGCTGCCCTTTATAAGCGAGTTGCAGCCAAAGAACGGCTCCTTCGGCAGTTCCGGTTTCGGTTGTCGTCTTTGCTTGTCGAAGCTTGGCTCAAAGTCACACGATCCTCCTTCCTTATTACTACCCGTGAAGCGAAGCAATGCCGGGCGCGCCGATGGCAGAGAGCCGCATTCCTGCATTGGGTGCGTCGGTCTGTTGCAGACAGATATAAGGAAACATCGGCTTCCATGCAGGGCTTGATGCTAATCCAAGTTGGTGTAGTTGGGGTGCTGCTAGAAAGACCTCCCCTTTTGTTTCTACGTAGGGCTCTTACTGTCGAAGGTGCCAGGGTTCACTTCAAGGTCCCCTAGCAGCCATAGCCAGGTCCGAGCTCGTCCTCTGCCGCCTGGTGTGTGCTCCTCGATGGCATTTGCGGACTCCTTGCGGTGTAGGGTTCTTTGTGAACTCTGGCAGATGTCAGCCTCAGGCGAAACTCCTTTTCGAGGGGCCGATTTGGGCGTAGAAACAGTAACTCTACGTAGGTTTCAAGCGATTTGGAGGCAGTTTGGGCCTTCCGGGAAGGTGCCGAGGGTGCTTCCGAGTAGCAATGGTCCATGCTCAGTTCGCCGCTATCGTTGACGATGAATTTTCTGCGAGCTCCCATAAAGTCAAGCAATACTGTCTTTGGTATTCCGTTTGGAATCCTTCACTCTTTTTCGCCTAGGGACTGCGCGGGTGAGTGTGAGCAGGTTCTATGGTGCTGGGATCATTTGCACGCTGGTAGTCTACGGCATCCTCCAGGCGGCAGCACTTGTCCCTCCTTGGTGCATAGTTCTCTTGTTTTGGCTAGTTCTTCTTGCCCGTCGTCACTTTCGGCCGGCCCGGGGCCAAAAGTGGTGGGAGTGTTGACGTCGCTTCGTCGTTTTTTGGGGGGACAGGCCGCCTGTGCGAACCTTGACTGGCCCCCAGGAGGCCACATCGTGAATGGCATCTGGAAAGGGCGCATGTGTTGGACAAAAGCCGTGGCGGCTCGGGTGTCAAACAAAAATCGTCGATTTGTTTCCGTATCATCAGCTGCAGCTCCGGGCCTGCGCGTCGTCCGTGCTTCTTGAGCTTTTGTTCTTCTTTTGCAGGCTTCTGCAGGTGCGAATCGACGGTGTATTCAGGCAGAGCTAGAATGAATTCGGCGCGCCTTCCAGGAGGGCATCATGACCGTAGCTTACGATGGCACCCTCTTCAGATATTCCGAGCCTTGGCTGATCGAAGCATCAAGAACGCGCCCCATTCAGTCGTCTCCTTTGATGCTGGGATTTTTTGACGTCTCCGCTTTACTCTTCAGGTCTTCCTCGTTCTCTGCAATCGCCTGGCAGCGGTGGCCTTTGCAGTTGCCATGGTCAGCTCGATGCAAGCAGAGGTAACGCACTTCTCCCTACGCCTTCAAGCTAGCACGCGAGTTTTGAAGTTCATTTGCTGCCAAGACCGGCTCGGTGAAGCTTTGGACCGGGCCGCAACAAGGCCAAGCGACAACAAACAAACCCATACCTGATCTCAAACTATCTAAGACCTAGAGAGCGAAGGTGATCTGCCATGTGCAAAACTGGCATGAGCACACATTGCACGCATGCGTGCAGAAGATGTCGGTGCATACAGAAGCTCAGTAGCGGAGCCACTCGAGCAAGACGGTTCCTTGGGAGCCCATTTTCTTCAGAATGGATGCAGCCGAGGCAATCGCGAAGGGCGAATCTATGAAGAATGAGGTCCTGGACCGATTTAGCAATCTGGCTCTCTGTCTCTGTCTTTCTCTGTCTCTGTGTCTCTCTCGCTAGCTCTCCCTCCTAGAGTTTTTCCTCAGAGTGGCTGGCCTGTGAAGTGAGCCGTTGCTTTTGGACGCGGTTGCGATCCGAGCGACATGTCTTGCTTGTTTTCGAGTTCTACATGGGAGTTTCCGAAATTTGGGGGTACCTTATTTTGGGGTCCTTATAATATTATGTGGGTACTACATTGAATTCCCCTATTTTCGGAAACCCCCACATGGCTTGGCTGCGGCGATGCTCGGCCAGGCCCCTCTGTGGAAATACCTCGTCGTGTCCCTCTCCAACGTGTACGCCAGCTCTTGCCAGTACGAGGC